TTCCCCTGATTTCTTCAAAGTAAACTTTTTTTTTCAGACTGTTTCTTCACATCAGCATCCAAATAAGGTCCATACATTATATATGGTGGGTTTATCTTTATAAATCTATCTTAATCTAGAGTCATCTCCCCATTATTTAAATTCAGGCTATTAGCTTGCTGAAGAAATTGGTTCAGTTTTCCACAGAGTGACCCATATTCTGGATTTCTGCTTCCCTGTGGTATAATTTAACTTGTTTCTATTTCCTATAAATGGAATCCCATGGCTTCTCTCTTTACATATTGTCATCATCTAAACCAGAAAAAGATTTGACTATTTTTTCAATCTCCTCAAGGATGATACACAACTAGCACCATTTTAGATGAATAGGAGAGAAGTTAGTTTATCACATATAATGAATTCTTTAGAACATTAGGGCTTAATTTTCTCATGAAACCCAGATGAGAAAGGCTGAATGACTTGATTATATTCAGTTTCAACTACCGGCAAAAATATTTCAGAGAAGGCATTGTATGCTTCATACTGCATCATATTAAGAGGCACACAATGTCTGTTTCTCTCTCTTTTAGTGATGCTAGGATGGATTAGTGGGTTCCAATGATGAACATATTTAATAGGCTCATCTATTAATGATTGTTGTAGATGTTTCAGCCTGGAGGAAACCTGTGGCAAGAATTAAGTTATAACTTCTACCAAGAGTGATCTCAATCTTGGGGCCTGGAAAGGATGACTCATGTGGTACAACACCAAACTGTCTTAATCAAAGGGAATCAACTTGATTTCTTCTCCTCTATTACTCCTCTAATAGTGGTCAGCAATACTCAGAGCAAGACCAGAAAAGGATCATTCACTTCTACCCTAAGAGAACTTTAAAAATCTAAATCAACATATTTAAAGTCTTTTGCCCAGCAGAATGGGCCCAGCATGCCAGGAGGACATTTGCTTTTGTCTTCCTCTATAATATTTTCAATCTCCCAAATGCTTTTTTAAATATGAGAAACATGAAAAACATGCCCAAGATGGAACACAAAGCAAATTATGTTCACTACACTTAGAGGGAAACTAAAGGAAATATTTTGCTTCCCCAAACATCATCTATGTAAATAAACACAGAAATATAATACCAGTTACCTCCTTTGTCACCCTTAAATGGCTAGAAGATATGAAAGCAAGTTTTTAGCTTCTGCACCGAGTGTGTAGTCAATAAAGTTGTTGATAGTCTTATTCCTGCACATCATAAAAGGGCTATTTAGGTAAGGGTGAGGCCTGGACAATTGAGTAATGTACTGGAACAATGCAAGGGACAGAACACAGAAGTTGACTACATCGAAGCCATTGCAGCAAGCTGTTTCATGTTGGACTGCTTAGGAAAACATGTCATATGTGCTTTTTGATGGTAGTTACCACAGGAAGACTAGTATATAAATATCCTGATACTACCATAATCCTGGAATTGCTTCTGTTACATACATGATTCCTTCTCTCTGCATGGACTCTGGAAATTAATAAAGCTCCCTTCCGGAATAGAGCCAAAGCTAAGCTTTCAATGAGGTTATGCCTCTCTTGCTGGACTTATGCCAATATTCTTCTATACCCTTCTGTTCTGCCGACATTGACCTACAGAACTTGCATCTACTCTGACAAGATCAGTGTTGGAGACACAGTGGAGGGGAATGAACTTATCTCACCCTTATATCATGGTCCACGAAACCTACCACTAGTCCACACCTCAGCATAAAGAGTGCATGAATTGAAAAACCTGAGAGTGAGGTTAAATTCATAATAAATTCATAGAACGTTAGAGCTACAAGAGAAATGGAGGTAAAACCTACCACTAGTCCACACCTCAGCATAAAGAGTGCATGAATTGAAAAACCCGAGAGTGAGGTTAAATTCATAATAAATTCATAGAACGTTAGAGCTACAAGAGAAATGGAGGTCACTTAATATAAAACCCTCTTATTTTACAGAAGGAAAAACTGTTACCAGAGAAATTAAATTATTTGCCCCAAATCACAGTGGCAATGAGGGAATGAAAAGGCAAAATGATTCCTAATGACCTTTTTGAGTAAATATCACAAATGTTAGGTAACAGTACTAATCATGTAGAAATATTTGAAATTTTTTAATGACAAATTTGTTCATTCATCTAACAAATATTTACCGAGGTCCTTAAGAACTGGGGATATAGCACTGAACAAAAACAGACAAAAATCCCTATCCTAATGTAGTGTACAGTCTGGCAGGGAGTGGTCATACAGCTACAAGTGTCATAAAAGAGGATAGGGAGTAACAGCACTTGGGCGTGGTTGGGAAGGTTGTATTTAAAAACAGGACAGTCAGGGAAGGCCCTCTCATAAGGTGCATTTGAGCAAAGACTTTTAAGAGTTAAGGAGGTGAGCTGAACATTATCTCAGGGAGAAGTGTCCCCAGGCAGAGAAAATAGCAAATGAAAAAGCCCTGAAACAGAAGTGTCCCTGGGACATCCAAGGAAGAACAAGGTAATGCAGCTGAGCAGAGTGAGCAAGGAGGAAAGCAGTAAGAGATAGAGCTTCAGAAGTAATTGGGATCATATTCTGTAGGGCCTTATATGACACTGTGAGGACTACAACTTTTCCTAGAGCAAAATGAATAGCCAAAGGAGGCTTTGAGCAGAAGAGCAGCCTGATCTTACTTATTTTGAAAGTACTGCTCTGGCTGCTGTGCAAAGAACAGTCTATAGGGGGCAAGTAGGGAAGCAAGAAAACCAACTTGGAGGCTATTGCAGTAACTCAGGTGAGACATAATGATGACTTGGACCAGGATTATAGTGGGGCAGGTACTGAAAAAAACTTGTATTTTGAGTATATTTTCAAGGAAGAGTGAACAAAGATTAGATATGGGTGGTATAAGAAACACAGGAGTGAAGGTTGACTCCACACTTTTTTGACCAGAACAAAAAGAGGATGCAGTTGTCATTTACTGAGATGGGGAAGACTACAGTAAGGGACAGATTTTTTTGTCAGTTGGTTTGATTGCTGTGGGTGTGGGTAGGGGGTGGAGATCAAAAGGTTGGTTTTCGGAAGTGTTAAGTTTGGCTGCTGTCTTGAGAAAATATACAAGGTGCAAGCAGGGAGATTACTTAGAACTAACTCTTAACAATAACCCATGTTATTAGAAGATGACAGTGGTTTGGATCAGGCATCTGGAAGTGAAATGCAGATATATTTTGAGGATGGAAGTGACACAGTTTGCTAATGGAGTAAGGAAGAATGGGAGAGAGAGAAAAGGTGGCATCAATGATTTCTACAAGGTTTTTGGCCTCAGTAACTAGAAAGATGAAATTGTTATTAACTGATATGGGGAAGACTGTGGGAAGAGCAAATTGGAGGAAAATCGACCATGTGGAAATGTTAAGTAAGCAGTTAGAGCTATAGAGTCTGGAGTTTAGGGGAGAGATCTGAACCAGAGATATAAATTTGGGAGTTATCAATATATAGATGATATTTAAAGCCATGAGACTAGAAGAGATTACCAAACGTGCAAGAGAAAAGCAAGAGAGAAAAAAAGTCTGAACCCTGGAATACTCTACTAAGAAATTGGAGATGGGGAAAAAAACAACAAAGGAAACTAAGAAGCAATAGCCAGTTGAAGCTGGAAGAAAAACTAAAGCTTTGTTGTTGTGGAAACCAGGGGATAAAGTACTTCAAAAAGAAAAAATTGATCAATTGTTTTTAATTCTGATAAAGTCTGTAAGGTCAAGTAAGATGAAGTCTGAGAACAACCACTGGATTTAGCAATGTGGAAATCATCAGCGACTTTGAAAAAAACACCTTCATGAGAGTTAAAGGCAAAACTGCTAATCTAAAAAACTGGTAGAATTTGTCCTTACAACTCTGATTTCACAAACATGTAAATTCAGGAAAAACTCAGATTCCAGGCTCCTCTCCAAAGAACATTAATCTAATTCAAACAGGATTCATGATATACTATCACAAAGGTCAGGAGACTGAGGTTTCTTCTTTTCTATTTGCTAGCTATCCCGGCATTCTCTAATACTAAAATGATAAATCATTAGATACTGTTTACATATGACCAAATTACAATGCAAAAACACTCATAGGCTGGACTTGAAAGTTTCCTACTCCTATGCAAGATCTAATCCCAGCAATGTACTATCAACTTGATGCCAGACTAGTCGATTTACCTGTTTCAAATATCCAAACTAAAAGTAGAACAAAACAAGCAGAAAACTTTTTCAGCCTACAAAACTGAAACTCTACATCCATTAAGCAACTCCTCCCCATTTCCTCCTACCCCTATAGCTCCAGGCAACCACTACTTTAATTTCTTCTCTGTAAATTTGACTACTTTAGGTACTTCATATGAACAGAATCGTACATAATTCGTCTTTTCGTGACTGCCTTATTTCACTTAGCATAATGTTGCAGTGTGTAACAGAAATTTCCTTCCTTTTTTAAGGCTGAATAACATTCTATTATATGCACAGACCACATTTTGTTTATCCATTCATCCACTGATGGACACTGGGTTGTTTCCGCTTCTTGGTTATTACGAACAATGCTACTATGAACATTGTTGTGCAAATATCTGTTTGACATTCTACTTTCAATTCTTTTGGATATATACCAAGAAGTGGAATTGCTGGATTATGAGGGCTTCTTTTTAGAATGATAAAAATGTTCTAAAATATGATAGCGGTGATGGTTGCAAAATCCTGTAAATATACTAAAAACCATTAAATCGTACACTTAAAATGGGTGAATTGTGTATGGTATGTGAATCATAGCTAAATAGAGCTGTTAAAAAATACAACTTTTAAGGGCTGAATCAAGTACATAATTATTTCAAGGATTTTGACTAAACTGGTAATTAATCTGGTTAAATAAGGTAATTTTTACTCTTATTTCCAATGACCTGGCTAGGTGTGTAGGCATTTTTTGAGACATAACCTAAGTGCTTCTTCAACACTATACATTAGAGAAAATAGGAAAAAGAGAAACTGTCAGTATCTGTCTTTAATTCATAACATTAAACCTTTTCATATTTTGTACCAGGAAATACTGTGAAGACATATCAAATCCATACCACCTATGGCAACTTTTATTTCACTTGCTCTGTAGGCATGCCATTCACCAAAGTTTTTAAAGACAGGGAAATAAGGCAGGACTTTACTCACTTTGACTCCAGATTCACTTTTTGAAATGCCACTCACAATTATTTCATATAGAAGATATTCAAAAGATAGAGGGTTTATTCCCCCTTTTTTCACAATAAAAATTTATACAATTAAAAATCTGTCACTGAATGAGAAAAGAGGCAATACACTTAAAAACAAAACAAACAAAAAAACAGCAGAAAATTTTGAAAAGAAAATGTGCATTAGATTCAGATTCATCTCATGTCTAATTGTTACACACAACTAGAAAAGTTAATGGCAACATAAATGGCCAGTGATGCTCAGACGCTCATTTCCTCTCTTCTCTATTTTATGAAGACATTTCGATATTGTCAAGACTCAAAGATACAGTTTTAGAAAGATGATAAATGATCATAACCTCAAAGATTTCTCATGATCTCTTTTGAACAGAGCAAAGTAAGAGACACCTTACTTGTCTGACTGGTCATTTTTTAAAATAATAAACTCTATATGGTTCATAACAAAGAAGAGGCAAGTTTGGAAGTCAACTTTCAATCTTGGTCCCAAGGCAGAGATTGAAGCAATGGTTGCGATCTAATTATAGAGACAGTTATGTGGGGCAGTGTTTCTTTCCAGATTATGTATCTTATATACTTTAACAGCTTTTCCTAAATAATATCTCAAGGTTGATTTTTAAATGAAGACCAAAATACCGCCAGTTCAGATTTCAATTACAGATTTTTCAAGGTCCGTCTGTGTGCAGAAGCAAAATTATGAATGGCGTTTCGAAGAGTTGAACTCCCCTCAGAGATATCACAAGAATTGATGACTGAATGAAGTGCCCGAGTATATGCTGCAAAGAAAGGTTTGCACAGTGATGAACAGAGTCAAATTCTAAACAACTCTCCCACCCTATTTCCTATTAGTACTGCTTATGTACCGAGAATCTCATAGGTATTAACTTCAACTGTCTTTTGAATTAATATTTATTGAGCACTTACTGCATGATAAACACTCTGTGGGGACAGGAAAGATAATGGAGAGTATGGGTACGAAAATAATTAAATTGCAGTGTAATATTTTCAAACCCGGGGCATATGCAAAATGTCATCACAGAATGATGTTGGGAACGAATAAATAACTATCTAGGAGAGGATGGAAAAGATTTCCAGAAGTGGTAACATTTAAGATGGATCTCAAAGAATTAATGCGGTAAAGGAAAGAAGGGATCATAGTCACAGAACTGAGAGTGTGAGGTGCAAAAGGTATAAAAAAATACGGAATGTACTGGGAATATCAAGTTTAATATGGCTAGAGTGTGGCATAACACCAGAGAGAAAATATGCTAAACATGCCATGTATTTTGTACTATAATGGGGAACCCTATAGTATTTTGTACTATAATAGGGGAATAGCATAATAAGATCTGTGTTTTAAAAATTATAACACATAGGACTGATAAACTCATATAGCACAGATGGGGCACTAGGAATATAAATACTGGCAGTACTGTCAGTGTGTACATGAGGCATACATAACCTCTAAACTCTATAAAACGATATATTCAAGGACAGACAGGAAACAGAAACATTAGTGACAATAGGAAAGACTCCATTTTCTCTAGCTGGGACTCCTAACAGAGTATATACCACTCCTCATTTTCCTCAGTGTCCCCTGGCAGAACTGGCAGTCTAATGTGGATATATATGATAATAAGTCTGTGCTAGATATCATTAAAGTATTTGGATAACAGGGAATTCAACGGGACAGAGTCCTAACTTAGATGGCCACAGAAGGCAAATTCTAATAGTCTTCAATTAGAGGAGGACCTGGAACCCAAGTTCCCCCTACAGTGGAATGAGCTGGAAATATTTCCCCAGCATAGATGGGGACAAGAAGATAACAGATCTCAAAGAGAAATATAACTCCCTGTAATTATTTTCATTGCCTTACACGGTTGTTTTGTAAAGGGGTTATAACAGTCTCTAATAGATATTAAGCACTCAATAAATGCTAAGTTACTATTATCACTATTTTTGTTTTATTTTATTTTAATTGCCATTAAGCCCCAAATATTTATTCAAGAAACTTACCTCTGTGGTTTTTATAGAAAATACAATTGTTGGCACAGGTATTGGGATGAGCATCCCAAAAATCAGGACCACAACAGCATAGTGGAGGTAAAGTAATATTATATAGCTGCATCTTCTCCTGGATCTGAGCTCGTAAAGCTTCTACATATCTATAAAAATACAGTATAATCAGGCAAAGTAAACTGCTAGGAAGAGAGTGAGCATGCATCCTGATTTTACAACCAGCTTTAACTGTTAAAACTATTTCATATCTCAGCCTCAATTCTTCCTGTTTGTACTGGGAAATAGCACTTGGAAAAATATAGTGCTATTCCCAAGAGGTATCAGGCAATTGTAGTGAATTATGTCCCCCCAAAACTCCCTGAAACTAAATTTGTGTCCCCCAAGTTTTAGGTATTAGAAACTTAGCCTCCACTGTGGCTGTTAAGAGGGTGGAAAATCCTATTACGGTAGTTGAAAGGTGGAGCCTTGAAAAGGTAATTGGATTGTAGGACCATGCAGTAGTGAATGGACTAAAAATGGTGGTCAGGGGCATGGTTCTGAGAGCTTTAAAAGGAGAGGAGAGTCTCTCTCTCTCTCTGCTCTCTCTGCTTATACCATCTTGCAATGTGAGACCACTGGGTCACTGTCACTACCACCAGATGGAATCTGGACTTCCCAGCCTCAGAAAACGTAAGCAATAAATTTTGTTTTTCTTTATAAATCACCCAGTTTCAGGCATTTTGTTATAAGCAACATAAACAGACTAATACAGCAATCAACATATTTGATGAAGCTTTTTCGGGGACTGTGAGGCAGAGGAGATGCTGACCCAGCCTGGGACATCAATTTCATTGTCCCCTCCAGCACTCTACTCCCTCTCCAAGCCCCTCAATAAAATAGTTTGACCTCCCCTTGTCCATAAGAAAAAAGAAATTTAGTAAAGTTATGTACCCGTAAATAAGGAAAAGAGGAGACATAGTAAATTCTCTTTTAAGGAAATTGAGAACACCAACGTCCTACTAAGTCTCCTCAAGAGCCAGAATTTCATGCAGTACTTTTCATACTACCTTAGGTATTCCTTTTCTCTCTGTTGCTGTTTTTCTCTGGCTGTTTTTATTTCTTCAAGTTGTAACTGGGCTAACATGTCACTCATCTTCTCCCCTGAATATGGTTCTTCATTAAAGTTCGTTTTTAGGATCCTCTGCTCTTCAGCATAACGTTGTTGCTCTTTCTTTTTCTTAATTCTGAGAATAAAATTTTAACATGGTTGGGAATTTCATAAAATTTTAATTTAAAATTAGCTTCTAGATCCAAATAACTCAAGAAATCCACCAAGCGGGGATGGGGGAGGGAGTGGGAGATGGGGAGAGACTGGACAAGGGACATAAAGAATAATTATGACTTATAACAATATATATGCTAGTAGTACTGATTTGATCAACATATCTCAATGTTGAACCCCCAAAATATGTATAATCACTTTTGATTCAATAAATAAAATAAATTAAAATTAAAAAAAGAAAAAGAAAAAGAAATCCACCCAACAAGGGAGTGAGGAAATCAGTTTAATACCCCAAGAATATCTTCAAAAATTCCTGCTGGTCAATTTGAGTTTATACTACAGTTCATCTGTATACAAGGCCTCTCAAAGAGAAATGAGCAATGGCCACTATTAAAAGCATTTTTCTGTTAGAATCCTAGTAGCACAAGAGCCTTCTCAGGTTAAAACTACAAGTAGACAGGACTTCTGCTTCTGGCCAAAACAGAATTACAGGAACTGGATTTGCCCTCTCACCTTAAACAACCCAAAATTTTTTTAAAGTGTACAAGGAAGTAACCCAAACAAAATACAAAAAATAATGGCTTTCAAGACACTGGACATCAAGCAATGAAAAGACAGTGGTTCCTGACAGATAGCAAACAAAGTGAGCCCTATAACTGTCAAGATTACTGCCTTGAAAGTTTCCAGGCAGTGGCACAGGGCAAGGGAATTAAAAGTGGAGCCTGGTGGACTCCCTGACCTGAGGAGATAGAGCTAAGAGTACAGGGAGACAAAGGCAACCAGGTTCACAGGACAGAATACCACAAAGGAGAGAGCTGCTCAGAGAGAGAACTCCAGAAACGAACAGAGGGTTTCCTAGTACACAGCAGAGTACTGATTGGTACATGTATACAAAGAAATGACATAAGGTGACAGAAAGAACCATCCAAAATAATAAGAGAGAACAGTGCCTAGTGTTTACAGAGCACTAGGAATAATGCTTATTCCCACCAGTCAAACTTGAAAAACTGATAATTCATACGGATTTACATAGAGTATTCAGATCTTACCTCAGTAGTGGGAAATAATACTAAGTCCTAGACTGAGCACTGCTCTGGACCCATTTAACAAACTAAAAAGCAAGTCCTCAAAGTAACTTAACTGGATACCAAAACAAAGCTCAGGAAAATTTACAGGAATAGAAAGACCCAGCAACTAACAAGGTAAAATTTGTAATATTGGGCATCCAATCTAAGATTATCAGGCATGCAAAGAGGCAGAAAAATACAACTCATAATGAGGAAAATAATCAAGAACTGACACAGTTGTTACAATTAGCAGAGAAGGACATTAAAACTATTATTACAGCTATATTCTATATATTCAAAATGTTAAGATACAAAAAAAGACTGAACTCAAATTTCTAGAAATGAAAACTACAATTTCTAACATGAAAAATACACTGGATAGAATTACCAGCAGATTAGATGTTGCAGAAGTAAATCCGAAAGCATAACAATAGAAACTATCCAAAATGAACTATAGAAAAGTAAATTTGGAACAATAAAAAAAGCACCAAAAACAAAAACAAAAAACCCGGGTAAAGGACTTGAACAGACATTTCTCTAAAGACTGGCCAACATGCGTATGAAAAGATGCTCAATATCAATAATCATCAGGGAAATGCAAACCAAAACCCACAATAAAATTATCACCTCATACCTATTAGGATGGCTACTATAAAAAAAAAAAAAAAGAAATAGAAAATAACAAGTGTCGCTGAGGATGTGAGAAATGGAAGCCCTTGTACACTGTTGTTGGAACTGTAAAATGGTGCAACTGCTATGAAAAACAGTATGCAGTTTCATAAAAAAAAATAGGCTGGCTGGTTAGCTCAACTGATTAGAGCAGAGCCTTGTAATGCCATGGTCACAGGTTTAGATCCCTGACCCAGCCAGTGAACCAGCCAGCTTCCCCCCAACCCCCAAAAGTCTGCCTCCAAAAATTAAAAAGAGAGTTACCATAAGATTCAGCAATCTCACGTCTGGGTACATATCCAAAAGAATTGAAAGCAGGGTCTCAAAGAGTTATTTGTACACCCCTGTTCATAGCAGCACTAATTAATAATAGCTGAAAGGTGGATGCAACCCAAATGTCCACCGACAGATAAACAAATAAACAAAATGTGGTATATATATATATAACAGAATATTTATCCAGCCTCAAAAATAAAGGGGGTTGGCTAGCTTTGTTGGTTAGAATGTGGTGTTGTAACACCAAGGTGAAGGGTTCGGATCTCCACACCGACCAGCTGCCTAAAAAAAGAAAGGAAATCCTGTCACATTACACTACAAGGACGAGCCTTTAAGAACATGCTAAGTGAAATAAGTTAATCACAAAAAGATAAATAATTTATGATTCCACTAATGTAGGGTCTAAACTAGTCAAAAATTCATAGAAAAAGAAAGCAGAATAGTAGTTACCAGGAGCTAGAGATAAGGAGAAAAGAGGAGTTGTTTATCGGGTACAAAGTTTCAGATTCACAAAATGAAAGTGTTCTGGAAATCTGTTTCACAACAATGTGAATATACTTAACACTACTAAACTATACACTTAAATACGGTTAAGACGGTAAATTTTCTGTTATGTGGGGTTTTTTTACCATAATTTTTAAAAATACAAGTCACATAAACAAGTGAATTAAAAATAAAGACATAATAAGTTGTTTTCAGACATACAAAAGCTGAAAGAATTCATCTCTAGCAGACCCACAGCTACTAGAAATGTTAAAATACACCCTTCATCATGCCAAAAAGTAGAGAAGGAAAAAACAGAAAAGGAAAAAATATGTTCTTCCAGCAGGAGGGAAATGATACTATAGGTTTTATATACATATATGTATATATGATTTTCTTATTATTTAAATCTCTTTAAGAAATAATTGACTGCTTAAACCAAAATAATAACTTGAATGCAAAAGTAAAATGCATGACAATAGCAAAAAAAATAGTATGGGAGAAATAAAAGTATACTATTATAAGATTCTTTTTTTTTTTTTCCCTTTTTGTCTTTTTCTGTGTCCGGCAACGGATCGCAACCCTCAGTGTAGACTATGAAAAGTTAGTGATATGTACTATAAACCCTAGAACAACCAATAAAATAACAAAACAAAGAGTTATAGCTAATATGCCAACAAAGGAGGTTAAATGGAATCATAAAAATATAAAAAGTAATTCAAAAGAAGGCAGAAAAAGAGAAAAAAGGGAACAAAGAGATGGGACAAACAAAACAAATAGCAAGATTATATACTCATATCTAACCCCATCAATAATCATGTTAAAGATAAATTATCTAAACACTGTAGGTAGAGATTGTGATATATGGCAGAAAGTCAAGACCCCAACTACATACTATGAATAAGAAATGTATTTTAAATATAAAGGCATAAATAGGTTAAAAATAATGGAAAAAGATATACCATGCTAAACTAATTTTAAAAAGTGCAGTGAAAAAAAAAATATATGTATATGTCAGACAATGTAGGTTTCAGAGAAAAGAAAATTATCAGGAATAAAGCAGATCACTTCATACTGATAAAAGAATCAATTATTTACAGAAACATAACACCAAACATTTATACACCTAATAACAGAGCCTCAAAATAAATGCAGCAAAGACTGACAGAACTACAAAGAGATAGAGACAAATCCAGTTACAGGAACAGAGTTCAATACCCCCCTCAATTATTAATAAGTAGGCAGAAATATGACAAGGATATAGTAGAGTTGACCAACACTATTAACCAACTTGACCTAATGAACATTTATAGAGCACTCCACAGCATTTATAGAACAGAAAAATACACATTCTTCTATTGTAAGGTTCCTGAACATTGATATAAATTGAATCATGTCCAGAAAATTGGTACCAGAGAAGTTGGGTGTTATTTATAATAAATACTTGAAAATGTGAGAGTGGCTTTGGAGCTGGGTGTTGAGGAGAGGCTGGAAGACTTTGAAGGAGCAAGCTAGAAAAAGCCTAGCTGCTGGTGGGAGTTTAGAAGACAAGAAAACCAGGGAAAGTTTGGAACTTCTTAGAGACTGATTAAATGGTGGTGAGCAGAATGCTGATAGAAATATGGACTGTAAGATCATCCTTAGGAGATCTCAAATATAAATGATAAGGAGTTTATTGGAAACTGGGGCAAAGATCACCCTTGCTATGAACTGGCAAGGAACTTGGCTGCATTCTGTTCATGCCCAAAGTATTATGGAATGTGGAATTTAAAGGTGCTGACCAGGGTATTTGGCAGAAGAAATTTCTAAGCAGCAAAGCATTCAGGAAGCTGCATGGCTACTTGCAATAGCCTATGCTGAGTTATGGCAGAAAACATTTGCGGTAAAGCCAGAATTTATAATTCAAAAGAAAGCAGAGGGCAAAAAATGGAAAAATTTCAGCCTGGCCATGAAAGAAAGGGTCTAGCCCAGCAACCATCTGCTAAAGAGATTAGTACAGAAGAATGGAAGAAAGGGATTATCAAGAAAAGGGAAAAAGGACCTTGGAGGCATTTCAGAGATCTCAGAGGCTGCATCTTCTATTTCAGGCCAGAGGGCTAGGAAGACAGAATAATCTCGGGGAACAGTCTCCACGGGCTCACTGCCCAGGGCCACCTCAGGATGCTGCTCCCCGCACCAGGATCCCAGCTGCTTTAGCTGCTCCAACTGTGGCTAAACTGGCCCCAGGTGTGGTTGGACCCCCAGCTTTGGAAAATACAAGCCAGTTGGTGTCTGCGTGGTGTTAAGTCTGGAAGCTCACAGAATGCTACAGCTGTGGAGGCTTGGGAGCCTCTACCCCAATTTCAAAGGACATATGAAAAAGCCTGGGGGTGCAGGAAGAGATCTATCATAGGGGTGGAGTAACTGCAGACAGCCTTTTCTAGAGCAATGCCAGGCAGAAACATGGGGTCAAAGTTGCAGCAGAGAA